GCTCACCAGCTTCATTCAGGCCGTGAAGAGCTCGCCCAGAAAGTTCAACATTTCAGAGCCCAGCTCGCTGAGGGCCAAACCATTCGGAGAAAGCAGCTCACCAAACTTACCATTCAAAGCAACGATGCTACTAAAAAACTACAAGAGATTGTAGTCATGGTACGTTTATGCATCCACATTTTTTACACAGTTCATTTACAGAATATTAACACACCAGCAACAACAAATTGTTCTTTATTTCTGCTTTGTCTGCTTTGTCCCTTCAAGTAATGCCATACAGTAGGGAATTAGGATGCCGTTTTAGATTGCTTATGATTTTTATGATTTTTATGAATCTTTTCATTCATCTTATTTCTTGTACATGTTTCATGTGAGGCATCAAAACCTCGTAGAAAATGAGTAGAATTAAAGAATAGAATTACATTTATTATTATTATTATTTAAATACATTTTAATTCAAAATAAACAAAATTATATGAATATTTAAGAATATTAATATACTGTAATTATAGTATATTAGATTGATCATAATATAATTTAAATTTCATCCATTCTCCTATATAATAGAATAGAATAGAATAGAATATGTGACCCTGGGACCACAGAACCAGTGATAAGTGACAGTTTTTTTTTAATTGAGATTTATACTGAATAAATAAGCATAAATAAGCTTTCCATTGATGTATGGTTTGGATAGGACAATATTTGAAAATGTCCAAATTAAGTTCTTAACAATGCATATTACTAATCAAAAATTAAGTTTTAATATATTTACAGTAGGAAATGTACAAAATATCTTCATGGAACATATCCTAATGATTTTTGGCATAAAAGAACAATTTATAATTTTGACCCACACAATGTATTTTGGCTATTGCAATAAATATACCAGTGCGACTTAAGACTGGTTTTGTTGTCCATGGTCACATATAATATATAATAATTGTTATAATATAATATAATATAAAATATAATATAATATAATATAATGAATTATGGTAGATTTCCCAGATATTTTTTCCAATATTCTCAAGAAAAAATTCATATCAATATCAAAAATCTGATCTTTTCATTCCATGAAAGAGACTGTAGTCATAGTTTATTCATAATAAAGTTCAAAGCATAAGGTCATTGCAATGTTGTTATTATGCTTATAGTAAATGTCAAATGTCATATAATAACTGAGTTGGTCAATAAAGGATGGTTGTGCACAAAATATAATGAAGCCTAAAATAAGACTTGTCTTCTTGGTAAATCCTTCAAGTTCTTAAAACAGGGAGAAACTGCTTCTTGTATCATAAGAAGACTTCCAAGAGAGTTTCTTTAAACAGGGATGCATTTTGAATATTTAATGGGAGTAGTGTTGGATCTGGAGTAGAGATCATACTTCTCTCTCTTCCATAGGGGGAAAGGTTGATTCGTCTCTCTGAGATGTGTAGTAAGCTGGAGACCGAGTATGAGAAGGTTCTGCCCTTCTACACATCCTCACTGAGTGAAGAAGAGCTGAATAAGGAGAGCGCCAATGCCATGGAGCCGCTGAATGAGAAACTCGCTCAGGTAATGAGCATTCAAATCACACTCAGTAGTCCTTCAGATTCCATGTTGAACTTGCATTCAACTTGCATTGTGGCTTTTCACAACCCAATGCATTTCAGATGGGGGAAAAAACATCATTTTCTCAATGGATAGCAAGTTTCACTTAGATATATATTACATTGTGAACTATTTCATGCCAATTCATTACTTTAATTTGATGTGTAGCGTTTATTTACTTCTGACTTGTCCTGTTCTCTGTGCCCAGCTAATGCTTGACCATTTGCCTCTTGAGAAGTTCTGGCAACGGTACAACAAGGTTCAGCTTGAACATTTGTGTCTGAAGCGAGAGAAAACGCTGCTGTTACAGGAGAATGAACGACTGAGGCTCTATCTGAAGCAGTATCTGGATGAAGTTTCGGTTTCTGATGAGAGTTTTCGGCAACAGAAGCTTCTGGTGGTGTTGTCTCCTTCTCTTCAGGACACCGTTGCCACTGAGAGACGCGATCAGAAGCGCTATGTGGTCCAAGAAGCAGCAAATGTTGTGCACAAACAGTTTTAGGGAATAAAAATGCAATGCAAGTGTTTCTGGTTGCAATTAAAATGTTTTCTGCCTAGCATTCAATCAGTTAGTCTGTTTAATGCAATGATCTCAGTACATTTTATATTCAATTTATGATTTTAGCAGACACTTTATTCACAGCTTTTTTATACTTCTGTATATCAAGTTGCGACAGTTCGAGAGAAAAAAAGAAGGGTTTTAATGTCCTCGAGATGGCGCCACATCATTGAAGATTCCAAAGATGTTCCATTATAATTTATCTGGAGGGTTTTTAATGCGTTCTGTAACCAGTGTGTCCTGTTTTCCAATATTCTAAAGCAGAAATACTAAATAGCAAATTTTAAGTATGTTAATGAACAACATTAGCAGTAATTCTGTGTTTTGAAATTCTAATATTGATTCTGTGGATTTGCTGCAAGGTTTGTCTGCATTTTTCAAACTCCTTATCAAATATTGACCTGGAGTGAATGTTATCTTTCTGCTTTTGCTCCCATTGACATGTAAGATGGATAAAGACGTTAATCACACATTTGCATGAGGCAGTATAGATGAATTCTCTCAACAAACCGTCTTTTACATCAGGAAGACAGGTCGATACATCTTAGAAAGTAAGGTGAAGCTCAGTTGGGAAAAAATTCTCACTATTCATTATTTGAAGACCTTTTGCAACTCATCATCTCATGACATAATCCCAGCTATAAATACATGAGCTCTATCACTCATGGATAGATGCATGACAAGATGACTGAAAACCTTCAGACGTTGATGCATGATGTCCTTAGATGCTGTACTGCAGTATATAATCTAGTAGTGCGACGACAGGACAACAAATAACGTGAAGCTATGTTTTATGAAGCCTGTTCATCCAGTACATAACATTTATGATCAGAGACAACATACTGTGAAAAATGAAAACTGAATGTGAATGAAAATACTGCGATCTGATGCAAGACTATATGTATTTCATTCATTCAATCAACCAACCAATCAATCAATTTATGGCCAAAGAAACGCCTCAGAAAACTGAAATATCTTATTTTGCACTTTAACTTTATAAACATGTAAGGTAACATAATATGAGATTTTTTTGCTTTATGTTGATCTTAAGTACTTTGTAATTTAGCCAATTTGGATTTGTTTATAATTAATACCAATCTGTTGCATTATAATGTTAGTGAGAGACATAAACTTGGAACTATTGATTCTGAACACAACACATAAACCTTAACATAACTGCATAATTTATTTATATTGCAATCCATGCTGTTAACTAAAACTCTTTACAAAACTGCAATATTGTTCAATATGAAAGGCTCGCAGCACAGTGCCACCATGCTTAAAGCGTTAGTTCACCCAAAAATGAAAATTAGCCCATAAATTACTCACCCTCAAGTCATCCTAGGTGTATATGACTTTCTTCTTTCAGACGAATCCAGTCGGAGTTATATTAAAAATTGTCTTTGATCTTTCAAGCTGTTTCATGGCACTCAGCAGGCGTTGCATGCTTCAGTCCAAAACAAGTTAAATAAAAAGCGCCCATCCATAAAAACCTTTGGTGAACAAAGGCCTTCTGTAGCGAATCAATGCGTAAAAAAAAAAAAATCCATATTCAAAACGTAATAATCACTTTATCCGCTGCGATTCCGCGTGCGTCACTTCTGAGCGGCGCATGCGCAAAGCCGACCTCATACGTCATCCGCCCGGAACTGCTTCCATGCAAGCTACATTAAAGTGATTATTACGTTTTGAATATGGATATTTTTCTTACAAAAACGCATCGATTCGCTACAGAATGCCTTTGTTAACCCCCCGGAGCCGTGTGAGACACTTTTTTTTATAGATGGATGCTTTTTATTTAAGTTCTTTTGGACTGATACACTGCAACACCTGCTGAGTGCCATGAAACAGCTTGAAAGATCAAAGACAATTTTTAATATAACTCCGACTGGATTCGTCTGAAATTAGAAAGTCATATACACCTAGGATGAGGGTGAGTAATTTATGGGCTAATTGTCATTTTTGGGTGAACTAACCCTTTAAAGATCTGCTGACTCTTGTTGAAGATTTCCTGACCTTTTGCCTTTGAACGAACCCTTCTCCTGCACTGTGGACCGATCACCTAGAGTAAAAGTACACTCCTTCCTGAGCAGAGAATGATGGGGAAGTAGTATGTGAGTATATAATTATCTTGATTGAATGTTGGCCTTCCGCCTGCAAGACATGTTGAATTACTGATGCTTATCATAGTCATTTTAAACATTTTATCCAAAGCGACTTGCATTGTATTCAAGGTAAACAGTTTTATCAGTGAGAATGATGTATGCACTATTCAATCTTGAGATACACACTCAAATGTACTGTAAGGTCATAAGGGCAGCTAAAGCAATTATACAATAAAAGCAATTCATCTCTATCTCTAGTTAATTTTTAATCAACAAGTAAAGACAAAAAACATGCAGCCTTGGGTAATATAAGAGAACTCTAAAATGTTTTTAAAAATCTTCACAAATTTTGAATGGTAGAGTATATTTAATTGAAAATGGATATTTCAGAGATGTTTGAGGCAGAATGTTTAGGCTAAACAGTGTGAATAAATTACAAAAACCCCAAATTATACCTGCTTTCTCTCTATTTCTGTTATGCTTTGAAATTCTTCTAAATACACCTATAGAAATACTTAGTTGAAATACTTTTTGGGGCCACTGTACATACTAAGGCACCTTTTGTAAGTGGCTCTAGATAAATGCATCTGTTCAATGACTTGCATGTAAACATAGGAGAGTTTTAATTGAATGTTTTAATGTCCTCAAATAAGTCACAAAAAAAAAAATAGAAAGCACCAATTATTTAAATAGTTTATTCTTTTTGGCTTTAAAACTTATTTCTTCTTGCTTTTCTTGTCTTTGCTCTTCTTCTTGCCGTGAGGTTGTGCATGTGCTTTGTTGTAGAGGTAGAGACCCACTAAACCCAGTAAAGTGGGAACCAGCGCCAAGCACAAAAGAGGCAAGATATCATTAACTAGCTTCTGCCACGGTGTTTGCTGGGACAGAGAGATTACCTCCACCTCAAACTCAAGTGTGCTGTCCCCTGTGAGGAAAGAGAGATGGAGAGATACACAATAGATTAATAATAACACGGAACATGATTTAAAGGGAGAGTCCCCCCAAAAAATTAAAATTCTGTCATTGTTTACTCACCCAGAACCTGTATGACTTTCTATCTTCTGTGGAACATGAAAGGAGATATTCTGAGGAATACTGATAACCAGTTTTAGCTCCCATTGACTTTTTATTTTTTGTCCATACAATGTAAGTCAATGGGAACAGAAACTGCTTGCCTACCAACATTCTTTCAAATATCTTTTTTCATGTTCTACATAAGATAGAAAGTCATACATGAATGTGAGCAAGCGATGAAAGAATTTTCAGTTTTGGGTGAATTATCCATTTAATCATTTTTTAAAAATAATCATTATTACCAGCTTTGCTAGCTTAAAGCCACTTTAAATGTATGGCCATGCTACCTGGAATGGTTGGAGGGAATCCTCTCTTTCCATACGCGAGATGAGCTGGAATCGTGGCTTTGATTTTTTGTCTGTGCCAAAACAGAGCCAGAAAAGACTGAAACGGACTTTAAAGTGGATGATTCAGACTTCACCCTAAAAGACCTTTTCTTGAAGTGTTCTTCAACATATTCAATCGCTGTACTTTTACTGTCTCTGCCTACATGCATTGCCAAGTGACAAGCAGGCGCTGACTTCAACTTACCCTTCACACAATCCGACCAGGGCTTGCTCTAGGCCTGCCAAGCAAAATAGCGTGTTTTAAAGATATGTGCAATTGTGGAAAAGCACATCATTTGTTTATTTCCATGGATTGCAAAAGAAAACATGACCTTAGTTATCATAACCGTCTTTCTCTAAAAAAAGTCCTGTTGTTATGAATATAACATCATTTGGGGTTGGACTGCAGTGGTGGAGCCTCATACCTGTGATGACAGACCTCTTGCCCAACTCTACGACCAGAGGCTCACGAGACAGAGAGGTGTCAATCACCTTCCCGTCCATTAACCGACCCTGCGCAGGACAGGAGAAATGGTGTTGCAGGTCAGTTGCATTCATTTTTATGTAGATGCAGCAAATTATTTGTTGTAAATACATATAGAACTTAATACAAAAAAATGTAAGTAATAAAATTTAATAAAAGGTGATAGCCACCAGGTCACTGCCAGGATGCTGGAATTGTGGATTCACTTGTAAAAGTTTTGGAAGCACTAGTGTTATACAAAGACAAAATATATAAAGAAGGCATATTTTAATAATCAGGTTGGGGCATGTTGTCACCAAGTGTTTTACATGCTAAAATTGTAAAAAAAATTGTATTAATTACAATTTCTGTTGACCAAAACAATATTTGTGTATATGTGTATGACATTTGAATGGTAGTATATATTTAATAGAATATTTAATGAATAATAAATATTCGTATAATTATATAATCATAATATAATTAATGATTAATAAAACAAAAATGTTAGTCTAAACATTATCTGATATATATATATATATATATATATATATATGTGTGTGTGTGTGTAGTGAACTTATACCTGTGTATATATAGTGTTATTATAGTATCATTAATATACTATTATAGATTTATTAATATTTTTAATTAAACGCATTTGTATTTTCGGTTTTAAAGTTAGATATTCTGTAATGTTTTGTCATTTTAAAGGTTAGTAATTTTTTTGCGTTTTTGTCATTTTATTTTTGTTTGTTAATATCTACGTAGTTTTTATTACAAGTTGTCACAAAATGTAATGTGTAAAATTAATTTAGTAATTTTAACAAAATTTAAATTCTCTTTCAATTTTTATTTTTTTGTAAATACTTTGATGCATTGACCTAATCTAAGAACTATTCACGGGAGTAAACATTTTTTTTTTTTTAAATCGGCCTCCTCTTATACGCTCCTATAGCGCTCTCTCGAGTCAGTCACCGCGCGCTCGCTCTGACTCAAATGCTGACGTGTTGCTCCGCCTCCTCCACAACATTTGGTTTCGCTTAAAACTAAAATACTATTACAAATAACTACATTTCGAAACAGAAAGGTGACTCCACGATGAACTTCTAT